GGGTGGGGTGGGGGGCGGAAATACAGACATGGTCTATTTATTCAGCTGAAAACCAGATCGTCTAAGTAAATACGGTATAACACGGATAGCTCGAATTCGTCGGGTCCGGCCTCGGTAGTTCGAGGGATCCCTAGTTTGAGGGATATCTTACAAAGATAATGAAGGGGGAAACGGGACCGCATGGACAGTTCGACGAATGTGTGATTTTGAGTCTTCTGTGTTCGAACTATCCGTGTTATACTGTAATATGTATTATAGCATACTGAAAGGGTGGGGGTGGCTTTGAAGTCTATAGTTGTTGTTCAACTTATCAAGACTAGAAGATGTTTGCATTTCCGTTGAATTAGGGACATTATTGATGCCAAATAAATTGCAGAATGTGTACCTTTTCATCTTAGCACAATCTTGAAAACCTTCTATGGTTTTTAACCATAATGTTAAAATACACTTGTTATCATCATCATCATCATCATCATCATCATCATCATCATCATCATCATCATCACCATCACCATCACCACCACTCACCATCACCATCACCATCATCATCATCATCATCATCATCATCATAATCATTATCATACGCGACTCACTTAGGCAACATCTGCCGCAGCAGTTCCTCTGACTTGTGTTTCTCCTGTCTCAGTTCATCCACCTTCTCGTCCACGATCTTCTCCAGGTTCGTGCTGTATTTCTCCAGACGCTGTAAGAGGTTGTCCACGAGGCTGCCAGCTTTGTTGAACTTCCTACATGCAAGTAGCAGACAGTTCGTATAAGTGGTTGGTGGGTGCTCTAGTGTGGTTTGCTACTTCTTTCGTATCAATCATCTATAGTCCTGATCTCTCCTCCTCTTCTATCAATCATCTATAGTCCTGACCTCTCCTCCTTTTTATCAATCATCTATAGTCCCGACCTCTCCTCCTTTTTATCAATGATTTATAGTCCTGATCTCTCCTCCTTTTTTATCAATCATCTATAGTCCTGATCTCTCATCCTTTTTATCAATCATCTATAGTCCTCATCCCTCCTTTTTTCTGTGTATGTTACTCTGTTGTAACACCTCTAATCTTCGGCACTTATTATGTGACTTGTTTGTGTTGCAAGTGCCGTAAAACAATTCTGCGTTGTGATTGAATTTGTAATTGTAAGAGATAGCTTAAAACCTGAATGTAAGAGTTAGATTTAAACCTGTATGTCATCTATCGTCCTTATCTCCCCTTCTTCTTTTTTTTATGTTTGTTACTCTCTTGTAACACCTCTAATCTTTTGGCGCTCTTATGACCTTATGCAGTTGCGAGCACTCGTAAAACTTCTACTAAAAAATTTAAAAAACTGTTTGTAAGAGTTAGCTTTAAACCTGTATGTAAGAGTTAGCTGCAAACCTGTGTGTAAGAGTTAGTTTTAAACCTAACGTAAGAGCTAGTTTTAAAACTGTATGTAAGAATTAATTTTAAAACTGTATGTAAGAGCTAGTTTAAAAACTGTATGTAAGAGTTAGTTTTAAAACTGTATGTACGAGGGGCATACCAAAAGCTTTTACCAAACCATGAAGGAATAAAGGTAGAAGGCTGAAATTTGGGGTGAAAGCCAACAACCATCTTCCTAGAATGCATGTCAATTTTGTGGAATTTCCTAATACTGGTTTAACGACCATTGCACTGTAAGTGAATGTGGGTATGTTGTTCTCCAGTTTCAACATACAAAATGGAGAAAATTGAGCACAGGGCAGTAATGAAGTTTTTGTTCTTGCAAGGCAAGCAACAGCAGGATATTTTTACGAATATGCATCCCGCCTAAGGAACTGATTGCCAATCCTGTGCTGTGATGAAATTTTGGTGTAAAAAATTCAAACGCAGATTCGTGGGCAGGCTGATTTCCTGATAGGGAGAGGGTCCTCTATTCTCAAGGTTTTATCAAGGTCATACACTTCAAGAGAAGGCTACAATCTTTTACCGAGGTCTGCTCCTGAGTCTTAGACTAGCCTCATTATTCTGCTAAAAACTGAATGTGGTGGTAAACAATCAAAGATCGTACATACCAAGATAGTTCACTCAGCCAAAAAAGTGTCCAGCGGAAGTCCGCGCATTGGTTCAGATGGCGTTGCAGTCTTGGTTATAAAATCCGCGCTTTTTCGAAGAGGGCGTCCCCAAATTTTTGGAAACCTTTTCATATAGCTCAAAGAGAGGAGTGAACTATCTTGTTATGACGATCTTTTATATAATGACGCAATCGAATACAACAACAATATCAAACAGCTACAACAATAAAAGCAACTTCAACAACTAAAGCAACAAAAACGACAAATGATGACGACAACATCAACAAGAAAAACAATAATAACAGCAAGGGCAATAATGATTTTTACGACTATGGTGACGTTAGAAACAACAGCAACACTGCCACCAACACCACCACCACCACCACCAACAACAACAACAACAACAACAACGATAGTAACAACAATAACAACAACAACGATAGTAACAACAACAACAACAACAACAACGATAGTAACAACAATAACAACAACAACGATAGTAACAACAACAACAACAGCAGCAACAACAACGATAGTAACAACAACAACAACGATAGTAACAACAACAACAACGATAATAACAACAACAACAACGATAGTAGCAACAACAACAAAAATAGTAACAACAACAACAACAACAACAACAACAACAACAACAACAACAGTTGTAACAACAATTGTAACAACAACAACATCAATAGTAACATCAA